ATGGTAAATAAATTCATCCCCTGTAATTGCAGCATTATGGCACAGTTTACTTCGGTAAGAATTTCTAAGCGGTTAATTCTTCCAAATAATACGTTAATTACACGAGCTTTTTTTGTGGGATCGTTCTTCCTTGAGTTGTAATAAAACACAGGGGATGCGTTATTTACTGCTGAGCTTTAAAGAATCAGAAGTGGTAAAATTATAGGTTCTTTAGGCGCGGAATTTTTATCTGCTTTTATGATTTTTGTGATAAAAAAGTTACGAACGGCGGTTTTGCGAGAGAGATGTTTCTTTATTGACTCACGAAACCTTCCGTTCAACTAAAATGTTCATTAAGGCATTTATCCACATTATTGCGCTTCATATAAAATCGCGACTTCGTCTGCATTTGCAAGTTTTTTAAGAGAATTGGTAAGGGTTATGGAATACCGTAAACAACGCTAGATAAAGATTTGGAAAACTAACAACCCAAGGAATAAAAATAAACGACATACTTTAACAAACCACTGAATATAACGATAAGAGTGCATAGTGTAGGGAAAATAGGATACACAGTTGAGAAGGGAATAGAGGGTAGATTCAATCCTAAATAAGTATAATTGGTGAATATATGTATAACCAAATATTTTGTTTAAATTTACGACCGTACTATTTGCCCGGGAAAATTCCTTCCAAAAGATTTGTTTTCAGAAAATTCACCTTCATTCTTCAATAGATACCCCCAATAGCAGGGTGCTCGCTAGAGTTTATTTTCACCTGTGTGCAGGATTTGAGCTTACAAACTGAAATTTATAGAAAACAATTCCCATACAGTCAATTACAAAATCCGTCAAAACTTGGTCTATGTAGAAGGGCGTTATAATCAACAGTTAAGTTAAACGCATAATGATGTAGAAGACAAAAGCTTTCCGGTGAGGTAAAACATCCATAATATAAGTCATATTTTGTATATGTTACGCACAAATATCCAAAACGCGCAATGAGCGAAAATAACGCACACAACGCGTTATGGCCGAAGCTAAATGACCAAACACCGAAATTAAATATTTATACGTGTTATGGTCGTTAACTTATGACCACAACTGGAAGTTACGGTTGATAGTTCTTTTACAAAAATTACAAGGGAAGTCCTTATCAAAAACTTCTTAAGCTTCCCCTAGAAAAATACCGGCTACCCCTGCTGGTAAAAAATCAACCGTACCATCGAAGCGATCTGTTTCCATATTTCTCAGGGAAGGGGCCTTTTCTAAGTAAAGATAAGATTACCAGCAGAGAATATTACCCACCCCAATTAATTATTTTTAATGTTTTGATTTGTATAAAGTAGTGGTCGGTTATTTTTAGGAATTTGTATAAGCAATTTTACACGACGTAATTTTAATATTCCTAAAGGAATCGACCTGTGAAAATTATGAAACAGACTTGTATTAAATTTATAGATGTAAATTAAATCCAAACGAAGGACTTGGGTTATTTAGCTTCATTGATTGGGGATTTTACATTTAAATTAAGTGATCCTATTCCTTTGGTTGGATTAAAATTTGGTTTAGTATTCAGAGGTGTGCGTATATTTGGAACAGGAGAGTGTACCAGTAATTCATTATGGGGTAAAGATGAATTTTAGATCAGGCTCGTATTTAGTGTGGACACACCATCACGAAGTAGGTATTGCACTTTTTGTATTTATTTCTATGAATCAAACCAATATATTCAGGATCGTGTGAAGAAAAATGGAAGTCGATCGCCTTTGCTTTTAATAATATACATATTTCAATCAACTAAGGTTATATGTGTATTTATTCGAGTTCAAACAAACCCGAGCATTACATTTTGAATTTCAGATTTTGAGAAGAGATAAGGGGTCAAACTTCGCAAGGTATAAAAACTTTTTATTACTGAGTTACTCGTGGGTAAAATGAAAACTAATTGTCCTTGAAATTTTCTGCCAGTGCTGTAGAGGTTTCATTTTACCTTATGCAAGCGAGGTGTTCGACCCTTGTAAATATAACTATACTGCATTCATTATAAGAAGGTAGTAGATGGCGCTGTGTTTGAAGATCGACACACACAGGAAAAATATAAAACGGCACAAAATTTGAAAAATATAAATATAAATCAAACGATATCACGCTTGGATCTTTGAAATTGACAGCTAATGACAGTTCGACAGTTTAGTTCGTAATTGAAACTTCTAACAGACAGAATTCGTCATTCGCTTTATTTTTCAGGGTAATACTGACTCGTGTTTTAACCAATCACAGTGAAGGTCAAACTGTCCCTATGCTTTCTACCGCTACCTTCTTAAAATGAATAGCGTATAAGCCGTTACACGTTATGGAAATACATTGCAATATCTTTTGTGTTAAAGACTATATCTGCAGTTACTGTAAAATAAACAAAAAAGTCGGTAAATCGTATTCCTTCTATCACACTTGTGTTCCGGAAACTACGCAAATGTCTTTTTTCTCCAACCACCTGAATAAGACGCTATTTTGTGACAGTGTTCGGTACGTAAAATTGACGTTTTGCGGATTAATCGCTTTGACCATAGCAACTGTACAAAAAGTAGATACTTTTGGTCCTAGTACCAAAAAGAAATTGACCTTGAAAGTTGGCCAATTAAAAAATTACAATCACGGAGATATGTCACATTGACATCGTTTTACATCGCAGGTTGTAAGATATTTCTATACATACAAATCAAATATTTTTGCATATTCAATGCAAATAATGCTGTTACCTATACGTATGTACATGTATTGAAAATGATTTACGCTCGTTATTTTTATTTAAACCATGTGTAACGTAATTTACATATTCGGTGACGTAATTTTAATACGTATACAACCCACCGTCGCGCGTAACGCCATCTACTTCAGACCCATTGCACTATTATCTGTCATTTTGAATTCAAAATTTGAAAAAGTTAATTGCAATTAATTTTAATTAAAAAACTGTATGGTTTTTTATTTCAATACAAAATATAACAATATTAATTGTGTATACAATAGAAATGACTGAAACTGATAGCGACATGGATTGCACTCCGCCAGAGATTATAGAAACGGCAGAACATGCTACCTTAGATTTGCTCCCTACAAAGTCGCGAGAGGTGAGAAGTAAGAAGTAAGAACGAATAGGTTATAAGTTAACCTAAAAACTAGAGTGGCATGACACGTGAGAACAAGAAAGCAGAAGTTCTTATACCCAGTAGTGAAACTGTGACTGAATCTAAATTCGAATATAATTTGAAGTAAAGGGGGTTGGAGAAAAAATTTTATGTTTTATTCGTACAAAAAATGCGTTTTCGGGACTCGGAAGGTTGCTGGACTCCGCTAACGCGTGGTCCAGCAACTATCTTCATCGTCCCGAAAACTGACATTTTTTGTACTAATGAAACAAATAACTATTTAATCCATCATTTCTATTATCACATCGCCAATCACAAAATATCACAATATCAATTTTTTACATTAGGGATCGAAATGTTGGCTTTAAAATGGACGCACTGTAATGTCTTTAACATGGGACATAAGTGTTAATGTGTTT